TGAGATACATGGCGTTTGAAAAACATGCAAATATGCAATTATTATTTTTATTTGTTAGCCCCAATGTCAAGTTGTATATATTTTAGGGTACTTGTTCATGCGAGCTTATAGTCTCCTTACACTGTATTTTTAGTCCTCAAACACACCTTTATATTTATTTTTCAGCAGTCTACGATTGGAGACTTTCTCTTCTTCTTCTTCACAATATTGCTATTGAACTTGTCTCACATGCGGTAAATTCGAATTTACTTTTGAAGACATTGGTGCAGCTATAGGCACCATGATGGCAAGATATTAGCTACCTCGCCTGGTATACAGGAGGTCGTGGGTTTCGATCCTGACGCTTGTATATTTAGATTTTGCATGTTCTTCCCGTGGTCGCGTGGATTTTTCTCCGTGTTCTCCGTTGTTTTCCTCCACATTTAGAATCAACATGCGTTTAGATCAGTGGTTCTTTCCCTTTACTGCAGGCTTGAACCTCTTTGGTTCTCAGTCGTTACAAACATGTAGAATGTTAATCAATACATAGGGTAGGTTTGATGAAACAAAGTCGTTGTACTATGAGACCTCCTTTACCAGTGACAAAATATAGTAATAGGTTTTTACCCTTTCAACTGGTACAAAAACTGACACCTTTATACAAGGCATCATGTTTGCAATAACCACAACACAAGCAGTCAAAATGTGTGGACCAATCAACTTCAAGGACAGTGCATATCATTATCATCATCAGAGTTGTTTCTTTTTGTTTGCATTTTGACTGCTTGTGTTGTGGTTATTGCAAACATGATGGCTTGTATAAAGGTGTCAGTTTTGTACCAGTTGAAAGGGTAAAAACCTACTACTAAAGTCGTTGTACTTACGTGCCCGTGCTTAAGTTGTGTTTCGATGATTTACCTTCTAAAAAATCTGGCCATGCCTCGCATCCCCAGAAAGGACGTCTCGCACCACTAGGGGGTGCGTCTTGCACCCCCAGGTTAAGAACCAAATACTCTAAACCACTGGTTTAGAGTATTTGGTTACTCAAAATTTCCACCTCATGAGCCACTTAGTTGAGCTATCATTGGTGGCCAGGTTCGCTTCTGAAAAAGAGCTATGCAGCTCAGTGGGCCTTGCCTGTGCAGTGAGTCATTTCAGAGACACTATTTAGGAGGCAACGTTTATTCTACACTTATGCAACACCGTTACATACGGGACTAAGTGCACCTATCTCTCACTCTTGTTACACACGAGACTACAACACACCTCGAATACGGGATTACTATAATCGGGTCAGAGCAGCCACGATGACGACGACGGAGACGTAGCCAGAGGTGTGGACTCGAGTCATGTGACTTGGACTCGAGTCAGACTCGAGTCATGAATTTGATGACTTCAGACTCGACTTGGACTTGCATAACAATGACTTTGTCCCACCTCTGAGGTGTGGACTCGAGTCATGTGACTTGGACTCGAGTCAGACTCGAGTCATGAATTTGATGACTTCAGACTCGACTTGGACTTGCATAACAATGACTTTGTCCCACCTCTGAGGTGTGGACTCGAGTCATGTGACTTGGACTCGAGTCAGACTCGAGTCATGAATTTGATGACTTCAGACTCGACTTGGACTTGCATAACAATGACTTTGTCCCACCTCTGAGGTGTGGACTCGAGTCATGTGACTTGGACTCGAGTCAGACTCGAGTCATGAATTTGATGACTTCAGACTCGACTTGGACTTGCATAACAATGACTTTGTCCCACCTCTGAGGTGTGGACTCGAGTCATGTGACTTGGACTCGAGTCAGACTCGAGTCATGAATTTGATGACTTCAGACTCGACTTGGACTTGCATAACAATGACTTTGTCCCACCTCTGGACGTAGCACATGGGTTCCACTTTACCTGTAGACAGCCCCATATTCGATCGGAGCTTCCCTTTTATTCTTCTCGGCACGGCCTGGCTCCACCCTCGGCCGCACCTACCTCTGGAATATTCCCGAAGGTTCCAGGCCACCTTACACCTGTTCCCTCTCTGGCTCTGCCCTTAACCACGGGAACGCTCTAGACGTTTCTCAGCTACTCTCGCTTCCCGTGTCCCCTCGTTCACCTTTGGCCCACATTCCTCACCCCGGCCCATCACGTGCTTAACCCGGTGCCGGGGTGACTCATCCTCAGATGGCCGCTACCACCAGCCGCCCCTACCACACTCCCCCAGTGACCGACTGAGGCTGCTATCCCCTAATCTGGCTCTCTTCTGCAAGCACCCATTACCTTGCCCCTAGTGGCCCTCTGAGTGGTACTGCACGGTATGTTAGCCTCTGAGCCCATTTCTACGGCACTTGGCGCTATGCGTCGTAGTGATCCATTTAACATCACTACACCTGTATAATAAAATAAATAAAGTAAAGTATGGGCCATTGTCACCACGGGGGAGTGACAATGCCCAGTGGTGGCGTGTTTTGCCCGCCTGTTACAGAGGTTTCGCGGTTCGAATTCGAACGGTGGCCCTGGTTAATGCTGCGGTTGTATTGACGCATAAAATTTGTGCTGTCTGCTTCATGGTGGACGTTAAACAAAGATATCGAGATGTCAGGAGCACGTCATTGCGCATAGTTACAATTTTGGAAAATTAGAAAAAATAATTATCCACAAATTACTCAATTGGCATTACACACAGAAGTCGTTCCCCCCCACCTTCACCGGCAGGCAAATGCGTACCTGCAGGCCGGTGCTGAGTCGCACTGTGCCAGAGCATGACTTTCACATGGGGTGAAATCGTTATTTTGATGTCTTTGCCTTCAAAAAGAAGTGGATAGTATTGTGGTCTTTTTCCATTATGCTACATTATATATATGATTTTTTTTTAGAATGTGATGCATTCAATATATAACAAGCATACATGTTTAGGGTACACCATTGGAACATGTGAATGCGGTGTGGTGTGTAACCATACGAAATTTAAAATTCAAAACACCTTTACACCTGTGCTAGTTATTCCAATTGTAGCGATTGTCTTGATTTACTGAAATTCTTAGAAATGTATTTATCTATCTATCAAGAACCCGTGGACACCACAGAGGGAGATATGTGTCGAACCGATTTAAAATACACCGATTTCCCAATGTTGAATGTAAACTCCTGCACGACGTCTTGTTGATGGGTGGAGATAAGCAGGAGGTGGATGGTTGAGCATAGTGTCACGAAAGCGACGGCGATAATGTCCCTTCAGCCACGTTGTTCTTTGGATAAAAATTTGATCCGGTCAACTTCACTGAGGCTCAACAGACCAAAGGAACCTCGGTTTCCGTCACCAGACGGCTGTACCAAAATTAAAACTGGACACGTAACATTTTATTATGCGCATAATCTTCGAGAGTCATTTTAAAACTTGAAAATTTTACATTTCTGGCCACACTGTAGTCATCCTTGCCGTCTCTGCACTGTGATTCACATCCTCTCTGCAAGTTTCCAAATATTATGTTCCTAATGCCATGCACTTGATATATTTATATATGAGTATATTGTGGCTGAATGACAGTTGTTAAGGTTTTGATCGAAAGTAAGTTAAAGTGTATATTCAATGTGATATTTTACATTCTGCATACGTAGATTTTTTTCCATAATATAGGTTTTTGGGTTAGATCGCGTAAATATATAAATGTTTCATTAAAACCCGCCACCACCCAACACAGCCAACTAGTAAGGGTTGTCACGTAAACGGAACATGCCAATTGGTCACTAGTACAGCAAGCCACAACAGTAACAATCTGAGTACGATGTTTCGCCAGTAATTACCAAATCAAATAACACGAGCATTGAAACTGCCCAAGTAATTAAAACGATCAAAATACTGTACATTGCGGTAGTAACTGATAAACTAGCCAGATGTTTGGAAAAACAAAACATCCGAGTTAGATTTGGCACGGTAGATAAAATACAGACATTAATATCTGGTACAAAATATGTATTACCGAAGCTATCAACAGAAGGTGTGTTCAGGATTAACTGCACTGGTGGCAAATGTTATGTTGGGCAAACAGGACCAGTGATCAGCACGAGACTAAAATAACATCAGAGCAATATTAAATACTCCCAAATACAACTGTCAGCAGTAGCAGAACATGCGTGCTAACAAGGACACTCAATTGATTTTGATATTGTTGAAGTTCTGTGCAAAACTAGCTACTACTGGCCAAGACTAATTAGATAATTGATCGAAATTGAAAGAAATAAAAAATTATTTAACGGTTCGGATAGCTACTTAGTGCTGCATGGAAGCGACTCATCAAATAATACATTGTTTAAATGCATGCCTATACAGGCCACCATACTTCAATAGGGATTACCGTTGGTACGGCTATTTTAATACACAGGAAGGACAATATAAAAAAGCTTGCATAATGCGCATGCATAATGTACGTTGATTCATTAATCCCCCCCACTTTGCGCAAGAGCGCAGAAATATGGTCACCACATCGACGCCTCTATATAAGGAACTAAACAGGTGGACTTCACAGATCTGGCTGTCGCCTGATGAAGCTAGTTGTAATTACTGGCGAAACATCGTACTCAGATTGTAAATGTTGTGGCTTGGCTCTCGAATTGGCCACGTTCTGTTTACGTGACAACCCTTACTAGTTGGCTGTGTCGGGTGGTGGCGGGTTTTAACGACACATATATTTACACGATCTAACCCAAAAAACTCTGTTATGGATGATATTGGTCGTGAAAGCCTATGTGTTAAACATATATTTATTTGTTTAAGCTCAACCCAATTTACTAGACACTTCATAATCGGAAAGCACGATATGAGCTCTGATCAATCCTGTGAGTAGTGGCTTATCTCATGGATTATGGGATTTATTTTTGTGCGCAAACCCATTGCACTGCCAGTTTCCACATCACGTATGTAAAATAAACGTTAACTTAAGAGAGCCATCAAAATAATTTTACCCTGGCTGCAAACATTAACATTGTATTTTTGTTTATGTATGTTTGCACTGTTTTGTGGCAAGGTTTTATACAAAGTGTTTGACACTTTTGTGGAAGTTGGTGCCGAAAATATACAGACTGTGGATTACATGAAAGGATTTGGTAAGTCAAGTTATACTTTCCCTTGTGTCATTGCAATGCATTTTAAATATGTTTTTGCCTACAAAGTACAACTTAAATACTAATGTATTCATGAGGCATTATTTTTCTAACTCTCATTAACATTCAGAATCAGACTATTTATTTATCCCGAATAAATTCGATGAACTAGGAAGCTTTTTTTGTTCACAGATGTCCAGTGTGAGTGGGTCAAGGCCGTAATTATAATATATATTCACATATGCTCAATATGTCCCCCCCCCCCCCCAATATATTGTGAAAAATATATTTCTGTTGATATGATTGTGGTTATGGTTGTACTTTATTAATCCCTAATCTTTGCCATTACATACAATGAAACAAGAAAAGGTAAAAAAATTAAAACAGGGCAATGTAATACAACACACTATTAGACATTATTGTAAAAAATAGATGAAAAGTCCATCCCATGTGTTAGTCAATTTTTGTATATTTTAGGCAGGAAATTCGTTATCAAATTGAGATTTTTTTTTTCTGGAGGCGGACCCCCTGAACTTCTGGAAGAGTTGGTCCCCCCCCAATGTTGACTCCATGGCTACGGCCTTGGAGTTGGGTGAGAAAGTTGCAACAACAAACAATACAAAAAAACATGGGAGTGCAAAATATTGGAAAGGTAATTAAATCACTCAAATAATAAATAAAGTGTATAAGTACAAATTGCAAACGTATATAAATTTCTGCCAATTTTTCAACAATAAATGCAAGCTTGGGCAAGATAGAAAACCAACAACAACAATAGTCCCAGGCCAGAGCAAGACAACACACAGTCTCTCAATGAAATTGCACATTTTCAGTTATGACCTGGGGCTACCAAGGCTCTACTGTACTTCAATTTAGTTTATTAGTCATCGCATGTGGGGTAGTGAAGCAGATAAAAATAAATTTACGTAAAAAATTGTATTGACAATCTTTGCCAATCCACTGCTAAATTAAACCATCTACATATTCTGATGGTCCATGTTTTTTTTTACGATACTTCACCATGTCGGTCAATATGGGTTAGTGAAGGGGGGGGGGAGTAGGTATTGCCAAGGACAATTTCAGATGTCGCTTTCTGCTGATGTCCATCATGGCCCGGGGGGAGGACAATATACTAAACACAAAAATCAGTTCTAAAAGAAATGAGTTTTCATTTTAAACTTAAAGGTGCATTGCGCCAGTGGCTTTCTAATATCGGAATCGAGAGCGTTCCAGACGGCTGCATGAAGCGCGCGACGCAGCGACCATCTCTGTTCGCCGGCTAGCCGTAGGAGTTGAGATGCCGTAACCCTGGGTCGCCAGGAGAAGGCAGTGCAGCAAGTTTTGCGTACGCTTCGGTTTACTCCCACTTGCATGAAACACTCATCATTCAATGGCTGAAACATTAAAATAAAAACGCAACGCAGGACCCCCCCCCCACCACCCCGAAAAAGTCTTGGAATAAAAAACAGAAGTTAAACAAGTAGGCCCATGTCAAAAGGGGCTCTCTCGAGGTCTCCTGTCATGGAAGTGCTTCTGATAAGCAGTGGTTTGTGCAAACAATAACACGGCTGCACCTTGACCTCGCTTTAATACACATTTATGGTGGTTTATATAAAAAAAAAAGAAGATGTGAAAGTCACGCTGCAGGTCAGATAAGATTCGGTCATATAAAACTCCCCATCGAAACGTAACTAAATATTGATGACAACATTTCTATTTGTCACAAATCAATTTACTTGCTTTCATTTGATTACATTACAAATGGTAATGCAATAAAGTGCCCTACTATATTGGACGTCTCCCAGAAGATCGTTTTTTTTTTTACTTTGGGGGGGGGGGGGGGTGTGGGGAGTTGGTGGAATGTGGGGGGCACAGTTGCAGGGCATTATTATTGTAAGCAGCACACTTGCCCGTATAATTGGGAAGTTGATCAGCACTGGGGACTCCCTGCGCCGAGGTCAATCCCAACACGGACGCTGTCTCCCCGACAGACCTGGTCTTCACCTGAGGACGGCTGCTTGCGTTGTGGCCGAAACGTCGTGAGAATTATTTTATTATGTTTTATTTTTATTATTTTATTACTTCCCTTCTACGTGACTTTACCGAAAGAACCAAGAAGATGAATCCCTGCAAGTCACGAAAGCTTTAAATCGAAATTTAACCGATGTAGAGTTCTATCTCTACGCCTGTCGAAAGCGAATTCCTCACCAGGTGCGACGCACGCGCTGGCGACTGGACACTCCATGCGCCTGCACAAGCGAAACTCCCGGCGGCTAATTATGAGTCCCCTGCAGCTTGCTACGAATATGTAGTAAGTAGAGGAGGAGACGATGTCGAAGTTGGGACACACTGTTTATTAACTCCGGGACAGATACAATAGTTGAAGGGGTATCGGCCCCTTCACCCGTACTATGGGAAACCCACCCTAGTACTAAGCCCTCTGTCCTGTCCCCCAGTCCTCCTCTACTGGGCAACGGGAGGCTGACTGATCTGGCCCTGGCAAGCACAGATCTCGGCACCAGCTAACCAGCCTTGCCCTGATAAGGGCAGCGGTCTGGAAGCTCTTGGGCCGCGCCACTGGCTTACCCGGCTCGGCCCTTATAAGGACGGCGAGACCGGGGAGTCCCAGGGCCTAATCTCCGAGTCTTGGATCTTCACTGGTCAGCTTCGTGTCGAACTCCCCTCGAGCTCTTTGGGTTCCACCTTTTATAGGGATCGCCTCCGAGGGCTGGGGGCGTGGGCAATAACTGATGCGGACGTCGGTGTGACCCCCCGTGTATGTGAGTGCCGACAGCCCTGTGTTTGTTGTCCGCCGTTTCTCCCGTAATAACCCCTACATCACCCCCCCCTGTACAGCTCGCAGCCGTCCCGGCTGCAACAATCCCTCAACCCCCAAGAATAAAGATTAACACCGTCAATACACGTGTGCCTCGTAACAGTAACAATAACAAGAACAAGCGTAACATCAACCGATGGTTCCCTATAAAAAAAAAGCCCCACCCGGAACCGCAACACATATACAGAACGGTATAACAGCACATGCAATCAGCATATCGCGATCACACGCGTACATTGAAGCACAATAGCAAGCAAATCTGCAGGCGACCAACACACCATCAATCCCGTCGTAACTTTTCAACCACAACACAGTTATTCCCTCTCATGCAACGACCGCATCGCACACAGCACCTCGCAGCACAATACAGCCCAAAAAAAAAATTTTTTTTTCATTTTTTTTCAATTAAGCCCATCGCGCACGGTGACCCACGAGATGGTACAGCACAGGATACCCGACGCTCCCACGTTAATAATTAACTTTACCATCAAGATAACAACTCCACGCAGCAGCGCACACACTCCCTTTGAAACTCAGCAACCACAGCAGACTCTCCGTCCATTCCCAACACACGCCCACACTTACATGGACAGCAAGCAACAAGCAGATAGCGTGGTCATCGTTATTACACACACATACAACCATTAAAAAAAACATATATACAATGAGCGGGTTCCGCAGCAACGGAACACGCGCGGAAAGCTAATCATAACAACCGGCGCGTTTTGGCGCGAGTCCGTGCAGCGGGCCCGTCACAAGGGGCCGGCTTGGTAGAGTTGGTGGCAGGTGTCGCATCAGCAGGTGCCTGGTCGTCCGGTTTCCCGGACGTGCCAGCGCCGCCCCCCACGGGGGAGGCTGGCAGCCAAGAGGGCTTCAGTCCTGGGGCTCCTGAAGACGGGACAGTCATTAGTGGATCAGAGGCTGGCATCGATCCCGCCCCCCCGGAGTCAGAGGACTCCCCACATGTTCGGCCATTTACGTGGGAGGAAGCGTGCGGAGCAAAAAATGGCTTTAACCGTGAAGGGTGCACAAACCACCGACGCTTCCCCCACTTAATGCGCACACATTGAGGCCGCACAACCTGCACAATTTCAACGGGGCCCCTCCATGGTCGCAACAACTTAGCCGAGGTGGCCAATGGCACCTGGGGGCAGTGCAACCATGCTCGGTCGCCCGGGTGCCATTCGTGCGTGTGAGTCCGGCGCGACCGCAATCTCTCGTTTTGTTTCTGGCGAGAGTCAGAGTTTTGCATGGCCGCCTGCCGTGCCTCCGCCAAGCGAAGGATGTTAAATTTAACATGGTCGGCGATTTTCGACTTAGCATGAGGCGCGGCAATCGTCAGCTGAGTCGCGACAGGCGGGTCAACCTCGCGACCATACATCAAAAAAAATGGCGAGAACCCGGTCGCCGCGTGAGGAGCCATCCTGTATGCCGCCAGGACTCCCCCGATCCGTAGATCCCAATCGTTTTGGGACTCAGATACCTGGTGGGATAGCATGGACGTAAGAGTCCTATCAAGCGTTCCACCATCCCATCCGTTTGTGGATGGTAAGGCGAGGTACGAACTTTCTTTGTACCCAGAAGGCCACATACCTCGTGTAAAAGGGTACTAGTGAAATTCTTTCCCTGATCGGTCAACAACCGTTCCGGAGCGCCCTTGTCGAGGACGTAGCCCTGAACAAAAGCCTCCGCAACGGCCGCTGCGGACTGGTTGGCGAGGGGCCAAGCCATAGGCCATCGCGTGAAATATTCCACGCCAACCAGCAGGTACTTATTACCCCTCGGCGTGGAAGGAAACGGTCCCAAAATATCAAGGGCGACCAGCTCGTTAACCCGGGTGACCGAAATGGACTGGAGCGGTGGACTGGCTCCCTTCGCCGGCGGCTTCCGTTGTGCACACTGGGTACAGGACCGCAGCAGATCGTCCACGTCTCTTGCCATGCCCGGCCAAAAGTAGTTAAGCTGGAGCATGGCAAGTGTTTTGAGGGTACCCAGGTGCAGGAGCCGTTCATGAGCAGCCCATACAGCCCTACCCCTCAACGTGGAAGGCACCACCAGCCTGTGACGGTGGATCGTCCCGTCCCAATGCATGAGTAAGCCCTGGCACCACCCCCATGAGTCAACGCCCGACTTCCCTTGACCTGATCCTTCCGCGCGACGTCGTAGC